ATCCATTAAAAAAAAAAAGTGTCCCACATGGCTCCGGGGGGTGAACAAAGGCCTTCTGTAGCGAATTCGATGCATTTTTGTAAGAAAAATATCCATATTCAAAACGTAATCACTTTAATGTAGCTTGCGCTCACTGTTGTACAAGGAAGCAGTTCCGGGGAAATATCGTATGAGGTCAGCTTTGCGAACGCACCGCTCAGAAGTGACGCACGCGGAAACGCAGCAGAGAGATCAAAACAACGGTCACTAATCAGAAGTACAAAACGAGGATTTTTAAAGAAGAATGTCGGAGGATTTCGATATAAGCTAAGAGGAGACTGGTTTTCCTTTGCTAAAGTAAGGAAACTTACTTCCTTTGCTCCTGTTAACAAATGTTGGTTTTCACGAGACTCACCGGCGCATGCGCAGCGCTGACCTCAGAGGTCATCCGCCCCGGAGCTGCTTCTGTTTACAATAGTGAGCACAAGCTACATTAAAGTGATTACGTTTTGAATATGGATATTTTTCTTACAAAAACGCATCGATTGGCTACAGAAGGCCTTTGTTCACCCCCCGGAGCCGTGTGAGACACTTTCTTTTATGGATGGGCGCTTTTTATTTAATTTGTTTTGGACTGAAGCATGCAACACCCGCTGAGTCCCATGAAACAGCTTGAAAGATCAAAGACAATTTTTAATATAACTCCGACTGGATTCGTCTGAAAGAAGAAAGTCATATACACCTAGGATGACTTGAGGGTGAGTAATTTATGGACTAATTTTCATTTTTGGGTGAACTAACCCTTTAATGCGCCCCGAAATCTGCCTATGACGCCCAAAAATGCTGTCTAGGCAGGCAGCTCGCCAAGTTTTGAGACACAGCCAAAACATGAGGCAGAGACTAAACAAAGTCTCAAAATACTTAAGTATTTACCTCCACCACAGCCATGTGTCAAAACAGCGGGGGTTACACCAAACGTTTGCAGCTTTAGAAATACTTCAGTTGGAAAAAAATATTCGACACTAATTGTTAAACAGTCGATGCCACCCTGGCACTTGGCACCCCATATAAATATAATGGAAATGCAGAGTAGGCTACAAGAAGTTTGTGAGTTTAAAAAACTTCCCAATAAGAAAACCAGTTGTCGGTTTCTATCGTGGACATCACTGATCAAAACAGGCTAAATTAAACGTCATACAAGCAACGCTAGTCTGTGTGTTTGTATAACGGTACAAACATGTTTGCTGTTCTCCTCTCCAGTGATTTCGTATCATGCAGGAAGCGGAAGTTATTTTGATTCAATGAACAAGTTTCCTGCGTTTATCACTCATTCGGAAACCTCTCTCGGCTCGACCACAATGACACCAAGTAAAGCTCCTATATATTATATAATCACTTATATAGAGACGAGAACAGGCTGCTCTTACCTTCCAGACGCGGCTCTCGTGTGTCCGCTCGCTTCCACGGATGCGCCGCTGTTTCCCAACTTTGTGGGAAGGACTCAGTGACGTGCTGGAATTATCCTGGAAAAAAGGCATGAATCAATGCACGGACCAGGGAGATGTAGCAGATGGGTTAAATCCTCCCATTGAGCTCAGGTCAACCACCAAAGAGGAGAACCCAAAGAACCACCAAAAAAATTGCACGGTTCCGTATTTTACTTTAGGCACAGGGACCGTTTTCATCCAAGTGCCTGAATTTGCCTGAATTTCTAATTTTACTTATTTGTAACACGACAATGGCGTTTTTATTACATGGATAAATATACTAAAACGCTCATTATATAACGGTACAATATAATAAATAGCCTATAGGCCTATAACTAGCAGCCTGAGATACCATCTTTAACTAGATTAGGCTCAGCAGGGTTATTATTCTAAAATAGGCTCTCTCATTGAGTATCTATCTATCTATCAGTCCATCAATCCATCTATCAAGAGTGCTAAGTAGTAGCCTGATTACTGATATCTGATTACTTGTAATCTGGATTACTTAATCAGATTCCAAAAATCAAGTACTTGTACTTGTATAATACATCTTAAAATACTCGAAATCAGACTACAGTAACTTTTTTATTGATTACATAATTACATATTCAGACAATAGCAATAAATTATTATTAAATTAAAAGCTTGATGTAATGTAATGTTTCAGGCACTTCATGTTGTTAATAACAACATATTTTCTTTCTCTTTGTATTTTTATCTCAATATGGTACAAGATTATCTTCTTTAAATCAATGTGATAAACAAGTTAGGTCAAAAGTATTCTTTCTATCTATGCCCTAGCAGCCAGCTAGGGCATATATATAGGGCCAAAAAACATGGGCCAAAAACACTGTAGTTACAAGGAAGCTACATTTAGATAAGAATATTTTTTGTTGTGCTGTCTTTGTGTTGGTCTCTGAGAGGAAGACCGGTTACTGCAGACATACTTAACAGAACAGTCCGCGTGCCACTATCAGATCCCATGAGAATGTCTAGACCTGGCTTATATTGCTGTTCAAATGACACATCGCATTTATTAAATTGAGTGTCAGCTTCTTTTGACAACTTAATCACCAGGAGAATAAACTTTCCAATTATTGTTTCTACCCTTCTGTGCATCGACAACACAAGTAGACAGTGTGCAGACGATAAACTCTAATTAAAACAAACGCATCTTACACTCATCACACAAACAGGAGAGGGCAGTCAATCGGGGAGGGTGTTCAATGTTTCAGCCTGGCTGAATAAACAGTGCTCTGTCAGGCACAGTTGTTGGATGGTAAGGGCTCAGATGTCTATAAAGCAGGGCTGTGACGTTAAAACCGCAACCGAAGAGGGCGTTTCTACCCTTCTGTGCATCGACAACACAAGTAGACAGTGTGCAGACGATAAACTCTAATTAAAACAAACGCATCTTACACTCATCACACAAACAGGAGGGCAGTCAATCGGGGAGGGTGTTCAATGTTTCAGCCTGGCTGAATAAACAGTGCTCTGTCAGGCACAGTTGTTGGATGGTAAGGGCTCAGATGTCTATAAAGCAGGGCTGTGACGTTAAAACCGCAACCGAAGAGGGGGAAGGGGCTGTGCTAGAGGGGCCCGGTGCTGAGCCTGCACCTATGTCCCCTACCCCAGGCAGAGGTAACCAGAGACCAGATACCAAGAATGTGAGACATTTGGTGACACATTTCCTTAGCACAAACTCAAAGTTGAGCGCCAATGACAGCGAGACTGCAGGGCCATTAGGGACTGATTGAGTTTACTTTGCAATGGACACTTGCAAAGAACTTCTGGTGCCCTTTTGTAACCTGTGTGATCAGGTATAATCCACTCAAAAATACATACACCATATTAAATGAATATATTTGTACTGACAGTTACTAAGAAACCATACAGGCCAAAAATGTATGTATGTATGTATGTATAGATATATAATGAGGCAGCTGACCTGCAGTGAACTAAATTAATTTTTATCAATTCATTATCAAAAAGGAAAATTCTGCGTTAATTTGATAAAGTGTACTGTATTTAAAAAACATTTTGCAATGAACATGTAATTAGCACGTCAGTAGTATCGGACAAAAGGCTAATATAGATGCAAATCCTTTAACCCTCAGATTAGCCCTACTTTTGCTACTTCGTGTGCTAATATCCTCATTAGGAGGAATCCAACAAAACACTTAACAGACAGTAGTTAATATGCAGATTTTCTTTGTAAAGGCTTTAAAAATAAATAAAAATACAAAACTGGACATAATTTTCCTAATAGCCTGATCAATATTACATAGGCATATTTTAAGAATCCCATTTAAAAATATAAATTAGGTAAATTGGTTAGAATTACCTTTAAAAAAACACAAACAGATGATACGGTTTTCAAATGCCCCACTTTCCAAAGATTACACAGTTCAAATATAACTGCACACATGCCAGGGGTTACAACTGGCACCTAATACACAAACACATGGTAAATCACTTAGAATGCTTGGAAGGTTGGGTTCATTTGACATTTGGAATCAGCAGCTTTGGTTACCTTGCACTACATGTAAATGCTACCGAATACAGTGCCATCTGGTGTTTGTGAAGGGAAACGATGACACAAGGGCCAAAGGTGATTGACTGCAATGCAGCACAAACACACAGCTGGTCTTGGCATTACCTGTTTCCCATGCAGCATTAGGTAAACAGCATTCACAGTATGACAAGAGCTAAAACTCTGAACACTTCCTTCTCATATTTAATGCGTTTTTTGATGTGGAATGTACAAATTTGCGAATTCCAGTGAAAATTCATGACTGAAATAATCAGGACATGGTGCTAAGCCTTCTGTGACAGGCTTGTGTTGATGATCACATGACAGTGCATATCAAAACAGCTTACGGTTTGTACTTCTCTGAAAATTAAGAACTTAAAGTGACAAGATGTCCTCCATATTGTCAGCTGAGGTGTAACACGAGGGCTGATGCGTCCGTTTGTGTGGCTTGTTTAGCGTTTTGATGTTAGCGTGAGCGTCGAGGAGACTCTGAAGATCTGAGGCAGCATGTTGCTCAGCTGGTAGAACATCTCCTCTGAGATACTCTGATGATAAAAGAAAATCAGAAAGACAGATTGATGCCACATTCTTAAACTGCTAAACAATTTCACTGTTAGTAAATAAAACAAATCAAGCAATATATGCTATCATTCATAGTAAAGACTTTTACATTCTCAAACGAAAAATCTCAGTTCTTTTTAACTTTCTATTCATTGAAGAGTCCTGACAAAATAAATCATTGTTTCTACTAAAATATTAAGCAACACAACTGTTTTCAACATCCATAATAATAAATGTTTCTTGAGCACCAAATCAGTATATTAGAATGATTTCTGAAGGATCATGTGACACTGAAGACTAGAGTAATGGCTGCTGAAAATTCAGCGTTGCCATCACAGGAATCACTTCACATTTTGAAAAATATTAAAATAGAAAATGGTCATTTTAAACTGCAATGATATTTCCACAATATTACTGTAACCAAACACTTTGAACAGTAGTGTATATATACACAGTGTAAGTATTCAGTGTGTGCAACATCTAGACAAGAGTTTAAGGGAGTTATTTTAAAAGGTGCTAAAGAGTAAAACAAGCAGCTGTGAATGTGAAGAGTCCCCTGAGCCTATAAGCATGTGTCAAACGATGGACACTATTGTTTGAGAGTACAAATATATATACACACAATATATCATTTATTCCACTGTCAGTAAATAAACGGTGCATTTCCTCAATAGTCACTTATTACATTAAAAAAAGACATTGTTGTACTGTCAGTGAGGCCAAAAAGTACCTGGGGAACAAGGAACTGGACAGTCCGTGAGATTCCTCCATCCCAGGAGGCCATTTCCATCATAAAACCTGGAAAAGCCAAAGAAGACTTAAACCCTTGTGTTCATGTTGAGATGATGGAGAAAATGACCTATTTGAAATGGTAGGCATGTAAATGTGAAAAAATAATGGACAAAACTGATTGATTAAACTACTCATATTGACCTTAAAAATGAAATAATTTAGTTTAATTTTCAACTCTCTATTTTCTTATTTATTTATTTGTTATATACTAAAGGTGAACTTGGAAAGTTACTTTTAGAATTATTTTCCAAATAATATGTAAATGATAATTTAACATTCTATAAAATAGCATAACAAATAGATGAATGAATATTATATTAAAAACTATAATAAAGATATTTATTACTATAGGGAAAATATTCACATTAAGGCTGGTTTTACATGACTAGCCAACCGGGATGGGAATCTTTTTAACTACAAATATTTTACAACCAAGTATTAGAACTATTATGTTCCTAAAATAGAATCCACTGCATTTAAAACCAACATTAAGGACAATAATAATCAGAATATAAACAAAATGTATTATATTGATATAACATATTGATCATCAGTGCAAGGTTTTGCATGTTTTACATGTGAGCTCTTTGCTTGCCCACCTTTCACACACTTGAAGACCAGCTCAGCTCGTTTCAAGCACCAGGGAATAGTCATCTCCTGTACAGATGAGGTGAAAAAGTCAGTGACTGAGATAATATTTAACCATGTGGGTAACCAGGATAACAGGTACTCCTTGTAGAGAAACATTTACACAAGTTGAAGAACTACAACTTCCCATACAGGAATATTCAGATCTCCAATAAATTTCATGTTGTTCTTTAATACGACATAATACTTGCATAAAAAATGAATTAATTTACTCCTAATAAAGCCATTCGTTTAACATTTCCTGCCTAATTAAACACCACAGATAAATAAGATTTTGTGATCATGTGGTCATTTATGTGTTACAGATACATATAAATACAGTACTCAGAGCAATCTTGCCGTTTTCTACAGACATTTGATGATAAACATTACAGATGTCCTAAAACGTCTCTTATCCGAATAGAGCTTAAGACCTTGGCTTAAAACCATCCGTGGCATTTTGGCTGGGAGAACACACAGTTCTGTTCAGATGAAAAACATTTCCTGAACACTGAACATTCCTCAACATCGGCCTGTGGTCAGAGAGGCTGTGACTGAGGCTTTCATTTATCCAGAACTGGTCGGTCCACGCGGCCTGATCCAAATTAGACCATTTCTAAATTAGACGACAGAGTTTTGAGGTTGAGCATCCAACTCAAAAAAGACAACTTAATCTGGTTTGAACCTAAAGTTAAAGAGTTCCATTCAATCAGGACACAAAATATTGGTTATTGTCCACTATTTCATTTATATGTCAAACGCTGGTTATAAACCGGCCGATATTAGATATTTAATTGCATACGCTCTTTTCCTGTTTTTTTAAATTACCTTTGCTGTCATGTTATAATAACTTAAAATTATTCTTTAAAATCACTAATAATTTAATAACACTGTTACATCTCAAAATGAATATCCATTTTTTACTAAATTATAATGTTGTAATATCTAAATTTACTAAGATTTTTTCTTTTCTTTCTTTCTATAAATTTTTATTCTAAAAGAGATCATGTCCTTTTCATTTGCCACACATCAATGCAAGCCAGATCACATTTTTGGCTTGTTAATAATTTACAGTAATTAAGTGTGCACAAAGATGCAATATTTTCAAGGATTATAGAAATGCATACTGAATAATAGAAACGCAGAGCACAAGTGAATAAAATGCCTTTAGCTTCTTGAGGGCAAATATATCAGATGATATGTAGCGTGACACAGGTGGTTAAGCTGGAACTGGAATGTTGTGTTTGGCTGTTTGTTTGCCTGTTCTAGAACTAGATGCCAACGTAAAGGCCAAATCCTCAACATTTCCCACAAAAAAACAAAAACATTTAAATGATGGTAGTTGGCAGAAGAAAACTCTGGAACACCCTTAGAATGTAGATTGTTATAGATTCCAGTAATAGAAAGTTGAGGCTTGGTTGGATTTTTGAACACCCTACGATATTGGCAATGTCCTCAACTACCATTTTTACAGATCAGAATTGTGTGTAACAACTCAAAAGCTGAGAATGTTAACAAAAGTCACTGCTTGTAAATGTATACAAAACATTTCAGCAATAAAAAAATTTCTGTAGTGAAGGATCATGCATCTACTCTTACCTCTGACATGTCATGCACCAGCAGCAGTGGGATGGTGATGGTGGTTGCGTCATGGGTGCAGCAGACCTTCAGGATGTTCCTCAGCCCCATGATGGCTGGGTCCCGGGCTGTGATGTTTCCAGAGCGCACATTATCATCCACACAGAGGTGAAACACAATATGAACCTCAGACAGGTTTGAATGGCGTGTGATGTAGAATTCACCTGAAGAGAAAGAGAGCACAGCATCCTCCAGTGTTATGACTAATCAAACAGAGCGCTAAAGGCATGAGACAATGTTTTAATTACCTGGGAGGATATTGGAGGAATTTCTGTCTATGATCTTATTTTTGTCTTCACTTCCTCCATTTCTTGGCATTTCTATAAAACAAATTCAAGAAGTGTATTAGTGTAATATATTCAAATATGTTATACTTCACATGTAAGTTTGTAACTTTGTATTTATGATTATTTTCCACAATGACCATTCATTAGATTTATTATTGTCTGGACACTTCTTTAAAAAAAATCAAATCAGCACACATTAAAGTCAGAGCAACAAATGCATAATAATAAAATACATTAAAAAATATATATAAATAATGCATGAATACATTTACAACTTAATTTACAAGGAGGAAAATGTGCTTAATTGTCGTATTCAAAAAAAGGCAGAACATTTTCTACAAAAAATACATGAATTTAATTAACGATTTAAAAAATCTTTTAAAAAAATGTGCTTAAAATGTGCTTATTTTATGCAAAATTTTTTATTTCATATTATTTCCTTCTGATTTTGGTGTCAAATGTGACCTGGACATATATCTCCAGATGTCTTTCAAAACCTTTTTTTTTTTATCACTAAGGCCAGATTTATTTGAACAAAAATACAGTAAAAATAGTAATAATGTGAATATGTATATAT